TATAAAATCTTTTTTTAAAGTCCACTCAATGTTTTAATTGATAGAACAAAACGCAGAGCGCTTGAATACTGGGCAATAATTCAATAATTGTGTGCAAAGAGAGAATGTTTTTTATTTCTAGATAAACTTTAATTATGTTGATTTGATTAATTTTTTTAACGGAATGATTGTTTTTGAAATAATGTATTCGAAAGAACTAGTGTAGAATATTTTCTCATCTTCGATATTTAGCGTACGGAGATAATAAATATTGCATTTTTTCGATTTATACCAATCACCACAAAAACTTTTATAAAAATATTGCTTTTATCAAACGTCAAGAACAACGAAGGATGCAACACTATTAAAAATATATAGAAAAAAATTAATATTTATTTTAACAGTTTAGAATATATAGAGAAATAATACGTAATTGTTAAAATAGTAAAATAATACATGACAGCAAACGTTATATATTTTCTGTACCAATATCTATTACATAGTAAGCCTACATATATATTTGTTCATTATCCTTGTGTTTTATTTTATCATTCCATTTAGGTTTTAATGTGCGTTTAAAAAAGATAATAATGTTTTAGCGGTTCAGTACGTCACACATATAAAAAAAGTGACTTAAAATATTATTATTAGATAATAAACTATTTAAATATGCATGTTTTTGAACACTAAACGTAAGTGTTACAAAAGCAATGACTCAATTTATAATAATTAAAAAACAGCAAGGATTCTTTAAAGTTAATGAATATCGATATCTATTTTCACGTGAAAATATACGATGAGTGCAGCTGTCAATATAAGTAAAAATTTTGTAGTACTTTGTTGATTACAGAAGAAAAAGTTAAAAAAAATATATATACATTTGGAACAAATCTTTGGAACACAGAAACGCCATTAAAAAAGAATTATTTATTTCCAAAATTATATATCTAGGAATTCTGAAGAATGATCGATCATTCTATATAGTGGCCGTAACATATCTATTATATTTCACACATATATTTTTTAATGGTGGGAAGTAGTAAGTGAATTAATCAGATGCGTAACAAAGAAAGATAACTAAATATATAGAAACAGATTAGGATAGGGCGATAATGCATTGGTGCGATAATGTATTACCAGCCTATATATATTTTAAATAAACTACAGTATTACCTAATTATACAATGGATCGAGATTTTAGATCAATCGGTTTAATCAATCTTAAGAAAAAAATGTTTGTCTATTTTTTGGATATTTGGCTTTTTCTCAAAAACCAATTGAGTTAGGGATCAGAAACTTTTAGGATCAAAGTGAGAGCACTTGGCAATGTAAGCGATGTAAAGTGATGATTTTACATTTACCTTAATGCTTTGAAAACTATCATATATATTAATAATATTAGTTACAGACAATTATTATAAAAAAATGAACAATATTAAAAAGTAATTAAAATAGTTTGTTAAATTTTGTTCGTAATAATTTCCATTAAATAGAAAAATTTTGTCTTTTCTTAATTTCATTGTTACTAAAACGGGATATTTTTCAATTTTTTGTATTATCATTCCTTTATTAAGGATTTTTATTATCATAAATAAAATAGTCTCCATATTTATAAAAATATATTTAATAAAAACAGAAATATTTAAATTTTATTTTGGAATAATTCTGCGCAAGGAGTTGCGTTTTTATTTAATTTAATTGAAATTTAATCGTAAGGCAAGGAGTTAAAAAGGGTCAAAGGAAAATATAAGGTAGTGGGGGTTCGAGCGAACTTTTTTCAGAGGTTTTGAGCGAACATATCACATGTAATATCCAACCGCGGTTGAATCAAGATCGCTTCAAAAACCGATGATATATTTTTTACCTAAGGTAAGCCAATACTTCATTTTTCATAACAATTTTGGTTAAAACAATTTCCTAATGTTAATTTTAATTAGAGAAGAAATTTGTACAAATTAAATTCGTTAATAAGTCAATGATTTAGCCACATCAATGCTTCTCTTTAGTTTTCAATTTCACTCTGATATTTTATGTGCTATTGTTCTTAATTATAAACTTCTATATAATCGCATATTAATTTTAAGTTTTATATTAAAAGTAAGCTTTAAAGATGACATCGTCATACGGTCAAACGTATCAAGAGGAAATGTTGTCTATGGTAGAAGAGCCTAATTATTATAATCAACTGGGCGAGATTGCTTCATTTTATTCTGGAAAAAAAATCTTTATCACAGGAGGCTTAGGGTTTTTAGGAAGGCTTATAGTGGAAAAGCTTTTAAGGTAAAAGTGTTTAAAAGTGTTCTTCATTCTTGATTTAACTTATGCATTTTTTAGAATTAATATGTTACTTTAATTTATTCGATATTTATAAATCGTTGAGGTTTAAAAAATTTATTAACTGTTTCCAAACTGTGTTTTAGTTGAAATACATTATAATGTTACGAGTCATTATATTTTCGTCATTGATTTTTTTTGTTGTAAATTTTTATTTTTGTACCAAAACTTTTCAAACGCAATTACACTAATTATATTTTTTTAATATTACATAGAAGAATCTAATAATTTCTTAATGGTTTAGTCGAGTGTAATACGATTATTGAAATAATACAAAAGGAATCATTTTTTAATGACTTTAGTATTAATTATTGTACAAATATATCCAGATTTTTTTCTCTCTCTCTCTCTCTTTCGATTCGAAATACTCATACATAAACATAAATCGCAATGATTTACTTCAATAAAAATTTACTTTATGTAGAAGAATTTTTATAAACGAAATGCTAATATTCATAGATGCTGTCCAGAAATAACTATGGTTTATTTATTGATAAGACCTAAGAATCAGAAGGATATGTTGACTCGATTCAAAGAGTATTTCAATAATGTTGTAAGTAAAATTACAAACTTTCCCCAATTTATTGTGGCATTGAATAAAGTCATTAATATTACTATATACATTTCGTTTTTTAAGGTTTTCGATAGATTGAAGAGAGAACAGAAAGATGCCGAAAAAAAGATTGTTCTAATAAAAGGAAACATGGATGAATTGAATTTAGGATTATCAGAGGAAGATCGTGAACGTATTAAAGACACAAATGTGATTATTCACAGTGCAGCATCCGTGCGTTTTGTGGATAACATTCGTTCATTAGTTAATACAAATATTAAGGGAACGAAGAATCTTCTCTTGTTAGCACAGGAGATGCCAAATTTGAAGGTACGTTTTTCCATTTAAACGATTTACATAGAACCACGTATATTTGAGCATAGTTTGTAAGGAATTCATTTATTCCGACATTAGATTTACCTGTAACATTAACAGAAGTATTTTATTGCTATAATAAATTATTTCTTTAGGCTTTCGTACATGTATCAACGGCATATTCGCAATGCATAAATAAAAATATCGAAGAAAAATTTTACAAACCACCATTAAAGACGGAAGACATAATCAATTTGACAGAGATTTTGAATGAGGAACAATTGGACATCATTACTCCGAAGTAATAAAAAAAGAAGATTTTTACTTGAATTTTTAAAGTAAATTCTATTAGCACATATTTGTTTATTTTGCAGTTTAATTGGTAAATGGCCTAACACTTACACATATACAAAGGCAATCAGTGAAGATACTGTACGGCAATATACCAATGGAATTCCAACTTGCATTGTTCGGCCATCCATGATCATTTCAACGGAAAAAGAACCAATTGCCGGTTGGATAAACAATCTTTATGGATTGATGGGTTTTGCCGCTGGTATTTACCTTGGTATTATACATACGATACATGCTGATAAGAACATATGTCTCGACATTGTTCCCGCTGATTATGTTACTAACAATATTATCGTGGCAGCATGGGACTGCGCGCAAAGAGGGTTCTTATTTTTTTCCCTTTATCAATAATCTGAAAATAAAACTCAACGTTTGAAATAACATTCCGAACAAATTAAAAGAAATTTTGATTACAGATCTGTACCACCGAGTATCGTTGACTCCGATAACTCTTCATCGGATGGCAAAGAAATTCTAATTTATAATATGATTTCGTCTGCTCAAAAAAGACGGTCTTTGAGTGAATTATCTTTAGGATATTTTAAAGTCGGTTTTAAAGTTCCGGTCATGAAGACGTTATCGTACTATTTTTTAATATTCACCAAAAGCAAATATCTTTATTATTTTTATGCAATAATTTTCCACTGGATACCTGCATTGTTTATCGATTCGCTAGCTTATCTCACCGGAAGAAAACCAATGTAATGTTTGACGATATTCAGATTATACAAGCAATTTATTATTCGTTAATAGAGAAAAACATCATTAAACCAATTGAATATTTTTTTAGATTGCTGAATTTACACAAAAAAATTTTTAAATTCTGTCACGTAATGACTTATTTTACAACTCGTGAGTGGAAGTTTGCAAATGATAACGTTTTACATTTATGGGACAAACTATCTGTGAGCGATAAATATAATTTCTTCTTTAATATTGCCGATCTTGATTGGGATGCTTACAATTATGCTTATATCCGAGGGCTTAGAATATTCATTCTCAAAGATCCTATGGAGACAAAAGAAAAAGCATTGATCCGTCTTAAAAAGTAAGTTTCTTTAATTGACTTGCTCTAATCTTTCTTATTTTTTTTTTAATTTTTACATTTATGTTGCAGATTAAAAATAATTCATTATACGTCGATAACGCTTTTCTGTTCTTTATTACTTTGGTTTTTATACGTTATTATATTATCTTTGTATTAAATTATTTTCTTTTTGAAAATATTAAAAAAAAAAGAAAAAAATAAGAAAAAACGATGATAGAAATAAACATATGAAGAAAGAAGTAAAAATATATTATATGTATTTAAATATGTGTATGTTAAATAATTGTTTGACGAGACGTTTCTCAACCCTTATGGTTACTATAAGATTTTTATGGGAAGTTTGAAGTGCCGTGCCTATGCTATATTTTTGTGTTATTGAATATTAAGGATTTTTCCGTTAATTTATGTTTTCCGGACTTCCAAGAAGGGTTTTTTATTGTTGTAACGGAACAATGGTTTAGGCTTCGGACGATTCAAAGGCGGTGTCTCACGTGTAGACTGTCTGGGCTGATTTAGTATCATTGCACCATGTGCTTACCATCTACATTTTTCAACGATTCTCCTTTCATGAGCAAAGTTCTATAGAAGATCGTAAAAAGTTTTCAATAATGAAGAGCTTTAGAAAGCCCGAGGAGGATTCGTTAGTTGGGCCATGATTTAACTTAAGCTGCACTGATCACGCTACAAAGTTCATCATATTAAAAAATGTAATATAATTTCATGCGTATTCAATTGTCTTCCTTTATTATCTATATAATAAGTTAATTTTTGTTTTCCGTTACTCGACAAACCTCCACCATTATATTAGAAATTTTTCCGCCTTTCGATTTATCGACCAATCGTTTAATACTTCTCGAATCTATTAAGAGATAGCGCCACTTATTAGCGAATTGTGGTCCTCGTTTGTACATGGCCTTTATTTAAATAGTTTTTTAAATTTTCTTTAGCACAAAATCTTTTAGACTTGTAATCAATGGAAACATAAAAGGTAATTTAATTAAATGTATCATTAAAAAATACAAAATCGTTTTCATTTAAATATTTTTCTAAGTTATTGTAACAAATGTGAATTTGTATTAAATAAGTTGTATATTTAGAACAAGAAACATTCCCGCGAGGAATAATTTTTATACGAAATCATCGCCGAGAATAAAGAAAAAGAAGAAAAATAATAATAATGATAATAAAAGAATGAAATAAATAAGAGGCTATAAGAATATAGTAAATAATTAGTCGTGCATATGAATCGAATCGCCGTTTAAGATAATTTTAGGTTGCCAATATCGAAGGTTCTCGACGCGAATACGCGGAATCGAGAAGAACCGTGGCTTTGAGGAAGATCGCGGAAAAATGATCGTACCGCTTGCGTACCTGCTACGTTCTTCGACCTATCGAGGTCGCGTGTCATGACCTCGTCGTACGTGGCTCCATTACCTAAGACACCGCTTGTGCCTTTAGAGTCCCGTACATCGCTAAGATAGAAAGAGAAAGAGGAAAAGAGAGAGGATAGATTAGGATTCTCTTCCTCGTGTGCATTACTAACGTTTTATCGAGAGGTAACGTTTAGACCATCTTTGATTTTCTATTCGACAAAATCATCCGATTCTCTATTAGAATTTTCATTCGTACGAAGGAAGACACGCGTTTTCAAAGGGATTTCAAAATCAATCAGTCAGTCAGTCAGTCAGTTAGTTAGACAGACAGACAGACAGTCTAGAATTTGAACATAGAACGGCAATTATCGAAGGTGGTGCTTTCTTAAGAACATTTTTTGGATCTTGTGATAGCATTCGAACGTAGGCGTCTTTGTCTTCGTTAGACAACGGTTCTGTTTCTCTCCAAGGCGTGGCCGTTGATTTGTCTACATCCCGGTCACACCATAGAAAAAGCAAATGTTGGATCGATTCCGCTACGAAAGTCTTGGATAGTGACACCCACATCCACGGCCTTCGGCAATCTATCGATCTAGAGAAGAGAGAGAGAGAGAAAGATTCTTTGTTCCTTCGTCATCGAACATCACCATTTGACCTCTCCTTGCTTCTTTTTAATCCTTCTTTTATATCCATTTATATCCATATAACTATATATTCACTCGACGTTTTCGTTTGTGGAGATTCGTACGGAAGATCTCGAAAAGTTTTGTTCATTAAAAAAAGAAAAAAAAAAAGAAAGACAAGAGAGAATATTTCGCAGCTCCTGCCAGGCGCGTTGTCAGTCGCGACAGACTATCTCAGGGACAGACAGCAGGGAATCAACCGTCAGAATGACGTCCGTACATCGTTGGCTTTCGCGATGCACTCAATTTAAAAGTTTCACGATCGGATATACCGACAGCTTGTCCGAACTTTTACAGAATGAATGCCAGAATAAGGAAGAAGATTGCATCGCTAAATAGTATAGGATAGGGATAGGTAGATATTCGATAAAAACACCGCAATGCGCGAAACACCATCTAATAAATTGATTTAGCCGTTATGAAGATGGGAATAATATAATTATAATATAATACACACAAATAACTATATATATATATAAATGTATACAATATTTATTGATTTGTTTGTTCGTTTTTTATTACTTTTCGACTTTGAAATATACAATAAAATTTGTATTCGAATTTTGATAGGATAGAAGATTTTTTCCATGGACAAGTTTGATGAGACTCGATGATAACGCATCGATACGATCGATTGGTTAAACAGGGGGAAAAAAAAGGAAAAAAGTCGCAGCCACCGGTCGGTGAGAAGAAATACGGGAGGGCCGATATACGGGCGAACGGCCTCGCGCACCGTCGAGGAGAGTTGGACGGAGGATCGAGAACCAACCGGTGATCGAGGAAGCCAGTGCACGCCCGGCCGTCGAGACGAGCGGATGGTTCTAGCTCGTCCTCTCAACACACGTATACCCACCAAACGACAGATCGTCTATAGAACATTTCTTATACAAAGATAAACAAGCCATACAAACTGTCAATCATTCCAGAAGAGTAAGGAATTAGATAGATTTATATAGATAAAGAGAGAGAGAGAGAGAGAAAGCGAATGAAAGAGAGAGAGAGAGAATGTGAATGCAGTGATTTTCTTTAGGGATAGGACAACGAGAGAGGGACCGAGAGAGATAAAGAGTTTGGAGCGCGTGGCGATCAGCTGATCTTCGGCTGTGTGCCGTCTCGACGGTTGTAAGAAAGAGAGGAGGTGGTGAATGCTCTTTGAACTCTGTTGGCAGCGGAGAGACGGAAGATGCGGCCGGAAGGTCCCCTAGGGACGTAATGTCTGGGGCGCTCGCGCCGAGAAGGAGCGCATACGTCGAGAGAGCGTCGACGCCGGCAGTCGGCGGTGGTCGGTGCTCGAAGAGCGTCGTCGCCGGCGCGGTGCGTGCTGCAAGTGGTGGTAGTAGTAGTGGTAGTAGTGGTGGTGGTGGTGGTGGTGGTGGTGGTGGTGGTGCTGCCGCTGCTGCTGCTGCTGCTATTGCTGGTGCTGCTGGTGCTGGTGCTGCTGCTGCTGCTGGTGGTGCTGCTGCTAGTAGTGGCAGTGGTGGTGGTGGTGGTTGTCCTCTTGGTAGTGGTGGAGGCGGAGGCGGAGGTGGAGGTGGCGACGCAGGAGGGAGAGGGAGAGGAGGAGGGGGAAGGTGGTGGTGGTGGAGGAGGAGGAGGAGGCGGTGGAGCCACGCGAACTCGTCGGCGAGCGTTCGACGAGCCAACGCCGCCGTTCCGAAGTGCGTCGCGAGGCGTGCTACGCTCGAAATCGAAACGAGAAGACCACCTCGGCCACGAGAACACACGCTTCTCGTCGTTTTCTCTCTCTCTCTCTCCGCACGCCCGGACCAGAAAGAGACTTTGGCACGCGCGACCATCGAGAGAGAGAGAGAGAGAGAGAGAGAGAGAGAGAGAGAGAGAGAGAGAAAGAGGAAAAGAGAAAACAGTTGGAGAGACGAAGAGGCAGACGCCCCCATCGAGGGCGCGCGATCGCACCTTCTTCTTCTTCTTCTTCTTCTTGTTCTTCTTCTTCTTCTCTCATTATTCTTCGTTATCTTCGTCATATTCTTTGAGAATCAATCGAGGATTCTTCTTCCCTCTTACGCGAGTCGGGGTGCCTCGATCGTCGGGACCCTCGCGTGTACATTTTCTCTAAGACTGAAATCGAGAGATAGACACCATAAATAAAAAAAGAAAGAGAGAAAGATAGAAAGACGTGTGATCGTTCGTAGTGCAGTGCCTCGTTCATGTGAACACGATGATAACCACTATTATTGCTATTAGTCCTACTATCTTTGCTACTATTAGGACGGCGACAAAGACGACGACGACAAAGACGACAAAGACGACGACGACGTTTTGCTCGCTCACGCGGAAAGTTTGTGATAGTCGATGACAGCGACGCCATTGCTCGGATTAAACGAATACAGACGGCCGAGGATCGTGTTCCGGGAATCGTCTTGATTGGAAGATCCGGTGAGTGCGCTTACGATCCATCGATCTATATTGATCCTACACGCGAAAGTGTATTTTTCGTTTCTTTTCTTTTTTCTTAATTCTTTTTCTTTTTTCTTTTTTTACATCGTTTTCATTTCACTCGCTGGTGAAAATATTGGTGAGACTTTGTGCGTTAAAACACTGATCGTTCACGTGTTAAGTGCGCCTACTGCCCTACGCGAAAGGATCGTCGGGTTTGTTTTTTTAATTTTTATTTTTATCTTTTATTAAGCTTTAGCAAGTATACGTATCCGGATGTGCGCGTTACCGGACGAGAAAACAGGTGCGATCGTTTCTATTGTGTTGAACGGAGTCTCTTACTCGCATGGTTCTCACGAGAACTCGACGAATTTTGTGGGAAGAACTAGATTCTTTCGCGAAATTGTCTCACATCAGTTCGCTTCGCTTTTATTCTTCGATTTACGTTATTTCTTATAAAATCATCGATTTTGAACCGGCGGAAAAATGATCTTTTATTTGTTATTAGAAAATATTGCAAGTAATCGAACAAGAGTCGCGCCACGAGCTTTACGGTCGACGAACTTCTATCGATCTTTAGTTTCTATCTACCTTCTTCCTCCCTCGAAGTAACTCATCGCACTTAGGAAATACGACTTGAGAACGATAAGTCGCGATCGATGGTCGGTATATCAAACATTTTACAATCTTCTCAAATTCACGTCACTCTATTTTCGTCATCGTCGTCGTCACGATATTTATTCTTAAAGTCAGTAGATTATAACACCGAAACAACACCATTTTAATAAGCTAAAGTGACAGAGCAAGCTGTCACGAAAAATATTCAGATTTTTACAATGTATAATATCGTATCTGATAAATAAAACGTAGATGAAATCGTTTTATTAGACAGTAGGTATGTTTAACAAAAAGTAATGAATCATTTTTGCACTTTTAATGTTATTTTTTTTATATTTTCCACGAATTACTCGAAAGCGTGAAAGCGAGCGAGAGAGAGAGAGAGAGAGACGCGTTAATAGGAGTTAAAAGAAAACGCGTAACGCGGTTATTGATAAACGCTATACGTCGGTAACCACGATCGATAATAAATAAGCAGTCGCCCGCATAGTGCAGGTAGAAAAGCGTCCGATAAGAAAACCGGCAACCGGCTTTAAGTGACGCGGACGTTTTGAGCAACCAGCCACACTGTCCTCGTCCGTAGAATTCCGTGATAGTCTTATCGACGTTCATGTGCTTCTTCTTCTCGTAAATTTTTTATTTTCATACCTTCTTTTTTTTTTTTCTCTATTCGACCATTTTTACCTCAAAAATTATCGAATCGATATTAGAATTATTTCTTGATCATTTCCAACAAATTTTATATATTCTCTCTCTCTCTCTCTCAAAAAAAAAAAAGAATACAGTTATTCGTTTCTTTTTTGCGTAGGTAAAAAAAAGAGAGAGAGAGAGAGAAATATGTAAGTGAGTTAATACGTGTCGGGCATTGACACGAATAATGTCCTTCCTCGATAGATATATCGTAGCTCAATTTGCGGTTACGTCTTCTTAATTTGGTTTTACCAAATGAATAACGTTTTCCAGTGGCATTCGTATGGCATAGAGAGAGAGAGAGAGAGAGAGTGAGAGAAAGACAAGGCAAAAGGGTTATTAGTCATTTGCAGTTATTTCATTTGCTGGTCGCGTTTCTCTTACTTCGTCGGTATACCAGTTGTTTCTTCCTTCGTAATTGTTGATTTTACGACGGGACTTGCGACAAAGCTCTCCTCTTTCAATGCAGATCTGGAAAGTTACAGATTATAGAAAGTATTATTACTTTTTATTTCTCGTAAGAAATGGGCGCGTTTTAAAGCAAAAATTAATTTTATTTTTTCGTTCGAATACTTTTAACATAAACAATAACTGTTATAAAAATAACAGAAAAAAATTTTTGTTAAATATTTTGACGCATTATTTCTCACAGAACTGAAAGTTGGGATCAATGCGGTCGAGGAATTTAATGATAACTTAAGTGATTGATGATTTATCGCAAAGAGAAGAAACGTTTATTAAGGATTTAATAAATTCGATGGTATTTAAAAAGAAAATTTAGCGGAACGTGAAAACAAAGTTTACAAGATTGATACGAGTTAATGCATCATAAGATAAAAAGAAATAGAAAGAAAGAAAGTAAGATATTTGAAGGAAGAAGAAAAGAATTGTTCCTATACTCGTTAACGGTTTTGACTATCCACCGTGCGCTTTAATCTCCGCTGACCCAATTGCCACGACCTTTCAAGCCGATGGCTATGAGAACATAGCTTTTTTTTTCGTGAGTTAGAGTCACGTTAAACTCGGCCGCGGGCTATTTGAGTACCACCTAATTAAGCGACGCCAGTGTAACTCTGTGATGAATTATCATTGTCCCTCAAAGTTCAGACTTGGCTTTCTTATCTGTCAAATCAGCTGATATATTAAACTGCGTCTCCTTCTCGCGCATTTTAACTTGCCCAGTGACTCTAAAGAGAAACGAAGAAAGAGATACATTGATAGATAGATAAATAGATACATAGATGGAGCGAGAGTGAGAGAGAGAGAGAGGGAGAAAGAAGAGAAATTTATAATCGGTGCGACACATAGCTATGTAACCACGCACCTTGCGCATTCCATTTGATTAATGAACGACCCGCCCATTAAGTGTTTCATTAAACAACCTATGCTACATTGACAAACTTCGATCATCCATTTCTCCTCTCATAATTTGTCTCTCGTATATACGATCTATCAAGCGGTCGCATGTGCATCCATGCGATCGCGTTTCTATTGAGATCGACTAACATAAGATCACTTAAATGAGATCTATTGCTGATCAAATCATTGTGCTAATTGTTTACCTAAACTTCATTCGATAAAACAAGCGATTTATCGATAATATTATTCATAAAATGAACGATTACAATAGTGCATTTAAAATATTTTCCTATTGTCTACAAAAATAATAGATAATTTCTTGTATTCGAAAATAGTTGTCGAACAGGTGGCTAATTATCTAGGATAACAAGTTGAATATATTCGTAGGCAATGGTCCAAATATTTAAGCTACTCTTAAATGACGATGATGATAAGTTTTTGAGATAAAATGAGGAGTGATAGAGAAAGAGCACGTGGTCTTTCGGAACAGCTCAGGTTCGTCGAAGCAGCCTCCTATCTTGTTGGCTGTCAGATTGTTGACACAGGCAGTGACACGTTTAATAGGATTATTTATGCTCCTAAAGGCGCTTAAACGGTCCCATGTTCATATCGGCTTCATCTACCTGACGGCGCGTAGCATAATTATGTCGACACGACTCGTATATCGGGTTCGCTGAGCCGAGTGACAACGCCTAGGCGTCCCTGATTTTGTCCGCGCTCGACTTCCGACGTTAATCTCGAGAAGGAAAGACGTTTTAATCGCCCACTATCGGCCGTACCAGAGAAAACTGGTTCGTAGTTCTGCTCGTAGCACGCGAGTAGTAGTAGTAGTAGCCTATCCTCGATCGATTTGTAACTCTCGATCTCCTGCGAGATTAACTTCCTCCGTAATTGTCCACTTCTGGTTCGACCAATATCAACAAGTATTTCAAGATAATATAATATCTATCTATTAACATATCGTTATTTTTGACAGAATAGTTCAATGGGTATTTGGTGGAAGGGCTTCAAATTTTCTTCCAAACCAATCCATTCATTTAGATTTTTGTAATATAAAAGTTTTCATCTTCGATATAAGATTAAATGATCAAACAAGAAGAGTTGTACGCATTAATAAAGCGTTTTAATTGGCTTTGATGTTCTAATTTACCGCATTGAATCATTTCAAAATTGACGATCATATGAGAACAGAATATATGTATATTTCTATATACTAATACGGAAGAAAATATCTGTAAGAGAGAGAGGAGCATTGTCTATCTTTTCAGATAGAATGAGAAGCACTGTGAGAAAGCGATATAACGCGATATAAGCTCGGATCAGAGGCGACAACCGCTCATTAGCATACAATGCGGGCTAATGGGATCGCACGCTGACGGCTACTGTTCAATACCTTGTCCCCGGCATTCGTTTCGATTATCCTCAGCTCGTTCGGCAACCGAAAGCTTTCAACTATTTCAGTGATGAACCATCGACGTGACTCGTGTCTTTCATTTTCTTACATTCGTTCATACTTTTTTGTATTGAAAGTTTTAGATTTTCAATCGTATCGTATCGCGACAAAAAAAAAACCCGCGATAAATAAATATTCGTAAGAATAGGAAGACACAACAAAAATTGCAAATAATTATTTTCTTTGACAGGTAGCAAAAAATTTCGAGCGAAACAATCATAAGTATTTGTACCAGAATATACGAGATTATATTATTCAAGGTAAATAATTGAGTTGTCGTGTATCTTATTATAACTAATTGCAGAATAGAAGAAGAGACCTTTACGAGTTTGTCTGGAACATCTTCTTCTTCCTTTTCTTCCATTAATTCGTCCTAGTGCAACGGCATAAAGCTCGAGGACGTTCAATAGGAGCGATGATTTATCTTAACGAGAAGGTAGTATCGGGTATTAGATAGTGTTGTCTCTTTCTTTCTCTTTATTTATCTCTTATATTCTTTTAACTCTATTTCTTTCTAACATTGAATAACAATAAGTATAGGTCGTATAATCGAATCTTTCTTAAGAAGAACAACTTCGAGTTAAGTTGGGTGTCACGATAGAATATATAATATATATCTTTCATTCTTTTTAGCTTTGAAAAGATAAAAGCAAGAGGAACGAACGGTCTCTCTCCTTCCGAGAAGGTATTGTGTATACCGGCTGCTATTTACACGTCATCGCATAATAGTTCTAACTACGTTCCTCATTACCGGTGCAACGAATACGTGCGAATAGGTCGGTTTTAGTGCAAGCAGTAAAGACGCAAAGGCGTTGTAGGTACCTATTGCTATTCTTGCTGGACTGACCGGTACAAGACTAGTGCGTTTTCTCCTCTCTTT